GCTCACCGCGCTCAGCATGGGAATGGGGGGGGGGGCGGGGTCTCACGTCCCTGAGAGGGCACCGGGCCCCGAGGGGCCAGGACCCCCCAAGGCCACCGCAGAGAGCCCACAGGAGACAGGACGCTGTTGGCTACATCACCTGGTCCAAGGGCCACCACCCCCCACCCCCTGTCATGGTGGGATGGGCGCGCACGGTGCCAACACAGGTGCCCAGTGACAAGGAAACACGCTGGGCCCACCCCCCTCCCCCAGGCGGGTCAGCTGTCAGAATCCCTCTCCTCCTCACGGGATGATGAGGAATGAAGACACACGGGCCAGGGCACACGGTCGGTCCCCGGCACAAGGGCGAGCCCCAACCCTGCCCAGTTGGAGGTCAGAGGTCACTGGGGAGGAGGCCTGCCTGCCCGATGCTGAGAGAGGACCGTGTCCCTGGGCCAGTGGACAGATTCCCGTCGGCCCTGCGGGTCCAGGAGGTGCAGGGTCTGAGAGCTCAGAGCTCAGGTCAGGCGTGGGCGCAGCCAGCGAGCACCTTGCCCGCCGCCTCCCTGCATGCGTGCTGGACACCTGGGGCCTCATGCCCCACCGGACTCCCGTCACGGGCTTCCTGATGAGCAGAACCCAGGCCTGAGGGAAGCGAGGACTTACGCCCGCCCCGCGCTCCCTCTGCCTGTGGACACGGGGACCACAGTGAAGCCCCGCCTGGGCTGGAGGGGCCCAGAGGCCTGCACGTCAGGGGACTTGTCTCTGAGGCAAACCTGTCCCGGCGGGTCTGCCGCTGACTGAACCCCAGAACGCAGACTCCGGCCCGGTGCCCACACAGGTGCCTGGTGACAAGGAAACATGCTGGGCCCACCCCCCTCCCCCAGGCGGGTCAGCTGTCAGAATCCCTCTCCTCCTCACGGGATGATGAGGAATGAAGACACACGGGCCAGGGCACACGGTCGGTCCCCGGCACAAGGGCGAGCCCCAGACCTGCCCTGTTGGAGGTCAGAGGTCACTGGGGAGGAGGCCCGCCTGCCGGATGCTGAGAGAGGACCGTGTCCCTGGCCCAGGGGACGGATTCCCGTCGGCCCTGCGGGTCCAGGAGGTGCAGGGTCAGGGAGCCTGGAGCTCAGG